ACAAATTATGGTAGTTAAAAAGAAAAAAAAAAAATTATGGGAGTTACACAGCATAATGAAAAGCAGTTTAGAAAACTGAAATAAGCTGAAAGACAAAACAAAGGAAGATGAAGCAAAATCACCCATAATCCTACCACCCCAAATCCATTACTGTTCTGGAACGCAGCCTGCGAGGCTTTTTTTCAAATACAAACATATACCTAGGTTTGCTACACACTATCAGAAGCTGTGCTTATCACTCAGCTCTTTCCACGTGAGTCAGCTATACCCACATTCCCCAAACTGGTCCCAGAGAACGCCAAGACCATTTTGCTATTAATAGGGGAGTCCTTCCCCAACTGTTTGGGAAGCACTGGCTTCTGCCTGCTTAAATGGGCTTCTTTCCTGGAGGACTTCTCAGAGTCTTTAATTTATTAATGTGTGTTCTGAATCATCAAGAGGAGACTGGCATTTCATAAACATATTTCACTAGGAAATCCCTTGAGGGATGTTTTGGAAGCTTGGGTCTGTGGAACATCAGGTGGGAAATGTTGTCCAGTGGCATTCTTCACCAGGGCTGCACAGAAGCCACATGCCTGGAGACACCGTGGTGGATTTCAGCATTCATTGAGTGGATGTGCTGGTTGTTTTCGACATACTCTATTAGAAATAAGTCTACGGTGGGCCTCCCTGGTGGTGCAAGGGGTTAAGATGCAGCTTGTGAAGCCGTCCGCAGCCTCTGCAGCATGAGTTCAATCCCAGCCAGCCAGGGAGCAGCCCACATGGTACCCCAGACCTCTCCTGTCTCACCCACTGCTCCCCTCAGCAGTGTATTTCAGTAAATCCACCTGTTCTGCTCCCTATTCTATCTCTGGTCAATCCTCTCACCCCCTGCACCTATAGACCCCAGTTCTTCTACACAGAAATAAATAAACCTTTAAAAAAAAAAGTTAATTTAATTTTCTATCCCATGAACAGCCATCCATATAATTCTCTGCAACAAAGATATGTTTTAACCATACTTGCAGTGTTTCAATTCTAAAGGTTTAACATTAATTTCTTGAACATTTGTATGCACTGAGCCTTGAGGATTCTAGTAAAAAAATAACTTTTCTTGGGCTATTAGAAATAACACTATAACAAACACCTTCGGACTGGTCTTATTCATCTTTGGATGCCGGGGCTCATAGCAGGTGCTCCAACCAGACTGCAATCAACCATTACAACAGAGAGTAAACCTGTATTTGAGAACCTTTTCGAGTCACCCATGAGGCCTCACAGCCCACAGCATCCCTGGATGCCTAGCAGGTGGAATAAGGCTGCCCCCCCCACCCCCACGCCACCATGCTGCTGCTGAGTGAAGGTTCCTGTTTGATTGGGAATATAATAAGCACAGCATAGGCACAGCTGGACTTTTGCAAGCCTGGCCATTTGACAGCTCTTGTATTTTCTTTCCTTTGATCCCCATGACACCCTGGGAGGGGCCAGTGGGCTTTCAGATGGTCACACTATTGGGTATGGAGAGGAAGTCGACCCCAGTGACACCACTTTTTACTTCTGATCAACATTACTTTAATAGGCGCATGCCACTGTCAGGAAGAATGCCTGCCTTCCCTTAGGATGGGCGTAACATACGTGGGGCATGGTGTTTTGATGGAGAGAAAGGGAAAGAGCCCCAATGGTCCAGAGCCTCGGGTACTTCAAGGTCGTTCTTGGTGTATGTGTGCTTTCTATCCTGCGGGTGAGGGTGGGGTGATAAACAGGGAGCTCATTGGAGAGGAGCACTATAGCCTCACAAGGCCCCATGAGCAGGGAGCAGGTCTTGTTTATTTTTGTATTCCAGGGGCTCACAGCTGGTGCACCAACCAGACTCTTAAGAGAAGACATCCCTGGGCCTCCCTGGTGGTGCAAGGAGTTAAGCATAGCACTATGAAGCTAGCCGCAGCCTCTGCAGCATGAGTTCGATCCCCGGCCAGGAAGGGAGATACCCACATGGCACAGCAGACCTCCTGACTCACCCACTGCTTCCCTCTGCAGTATTTTCAGTCAGTCTGCCTGTTCTGCTCCCCATTCTGTCTCTGGTGAATCCTCTCACCCTCCCGCACCTCTGACCTGTACCCCCATTCTTATATGCATAAATAAATAAATCTTGGGCCTCCCCGGTGGGTGGTGCAGTGGTTGAGCGCTGGGTTGCGAAGCTGCCCCCAGCCTCTGCAGTGCCAGTTCGCTCCCCGGCCACCGAAGGAGGGTCCCGCATGGCGCACAGACCTCTCCTGCAGCCCACTGCTCCCCTCAGCAGTGTACTTTGTCCTTCTGCCTGCTCTGCTCCCTGCTCTGGCTCTGGTGAATTCTCTCACCCTCCCGCGCTTCTGACTGTACCCAGCGTTTGTATAAATAAATAAATAAATCTTTTTTTAAAAAAAAGAAAAAAGAAAAATAAATAAATAAACCTTAAAAAAATAAAGAGAAGACACCCCCCCAACCCTTGGGGTAGAGAACCCCTCCTAGGCTCCACTTCACACGGGGGCTGTGTTCTCCTCTCCCCCCGCACCACACACACACACACACACACACACACACACACACACACTGATCCTAACTCTCACTTCTCCCTGCTCCTTCTCCACACCCAAACCTGGGCAGTGTTCACCCTTTCTGGTCCCCTCCCCCGACAGTCAAGAAAAGTCTGTCATCAGAGACTCTTGTCCCCTAGAAACCCAGGTCCACAGCTGAGGAGCTCTAAACACAGCTTTGATCCTCAAGGACACCTTCTAACTGGGCTCTTAACCTTATTGTGTAGGAGATTTCTTTGAAAATCTGAGCTAAGATAGGGATCCCAGAAAAAATGTCTAAATGCGTATGCAGAAGGCTAACACGTGCCCTCCATGTCAGGAGTTCAGGGACACTCCGAGAGCCCTGGCCAGAGCCGGTTCCTGGCCTGGCTGGCCACACAGTCCCTTGGGACGGGGGTGGCTGCTCTCCTAGGGGCACTGGGACCCCCAGCTACCTGGGGAGTTTGCCTCCTGCAGAGCCAGTGGCTTGTGGGGTACTAACAGGTCCACTAGCCGTGACTTAGTTTCAAAATCCAATCCCTGAAAGATAAAACCATTTTTATCATAACACATTGGGCTGCAGAATCTGACCTGAGGTGAACTCATTTGGCAGCAAATCTGACCTCCACTGAGGCTAGGCTATTTATAGCTTTTATTTACACCACTTAGTGTGTGAATATTCATAGACTTTGCTCAGAAATGTTTATATGTTTACCAGGTGCTGCCCCAGACCCTGCTGGGGGCATTTTAGAAAACACAGTGTGAGTAAACTCCCGGTGGCACCTTTCCAAACTATGAAAGATGCTGAATTCTGAAGACTATCTGGTCCCAATGGTTCAAGTAAAGGATTGCAGGTCTGTGTTTATAAAATACTTCCTTTACAAGTTCAGGAGTCTGATGACCCCATTCAGGGAAGTTCAAGCACAGGCAAAACCATCACTGTGTCAGAGAGCAGAATAGCAATTACCTCTGGGGTGGGAGTTGAGGAATCCTGAAAGAAGCTGGAAATGCTCTGTATCCTGACCTGGGTGGAGGTTACACGGGAACTTAAATATGTAAAACTTCAAGCCAGTGCGCTAATTAAGGATTAGTACACGTTATTACTAGAGTCTACTAGAGCTCAAAATAAAAGGTAAAATAAAATGTATGGGAATATTTTATCTAATTAAGCAATAAGAAGCTGTTCCCCTAGGCACCCAGGGAAGTCTGAACTTCCTAACAAAGTTTCAATTAAAACCATCTTAAGGGCCTCCCGGTGGCGCAGCGGTTGAGCGCTGGGTTGCGAAGCTGCCTGCAGCCTCTGCAGCCGGTTCAATCCCGGCTGCTCCCCGGCCACCGGAGGAGGGTCCCACATGGTGCGCAGACCTCTCCTGCCGCCCGCTGCTCCCCTCAGCAGTGTACTTCGGTCCTTCTGCCTGTTCTGCTCCCCGCTCTGGCTCTGGTGAATTCTCTCACCCTCCCGCGCTTCTGACTGTACCCAGTGCATGTATAAACCAAACAAACAAATAATAAATAAATAAATAAATAAGACATGCCTCTAGAAAATTTAAAAAAAAAAAAATAAAAAATAAAACCATCTTAATACCTGTTTGACTTTTCTTTCACACCAAAAAATGAATCCAATTGAGTCAACATTGTTTAAACTCTGACTTGACCTGAGCTTATCTTTGCTTTGAAAGGAAGCACTCAGGCCTCGCTCTGTTCTGTGAGAGCCTCTCCACTCAGGTCGCCCACCGGGAAGGGTATTTCCAGACTGCCACCTCCAGCCCAGCAGCTCAACATGCAGCCCGCCAGTGTGCCGGGATCCAGGCCTGGCACCCACCCGTGGTGCTGCAAGTCAGAACATGCACCCAGACAACAATATTCTTTAATTGCGTGCGATTAGCTGCAAACTGGAGTTTGGATCTGAGAACAGAAGGGCACAGGGGACTTCTTGATTAAACAGGTCAGATAACCAGCTATCACTAAGAAGAATGGAGAACTTCTTTCCCGTAGCTCTCATTGCTCAACACCTTAGAGCTCAGCTCATGGCCTTGTCCTTTGACACTCATTCCCACAATGCCCCACCCCTGCTTTCCCTCCCTCTTCCTATCTGGGCCCAGCCCACTGGGGCTCCCTGCCCTCTACCACTCCACTGAAGAACTGATTCATCCCATGTGCCCATCTTCCTATCTCCAGCCACAGGGCACTGATCTGAGGGCCTTGGGCTGTCCTCACCTGCCTCCGATCCTTTCAGGAACCAGTATAAACAAACAAACCGACCTACTTGGGCTTTTTCCTCCCAGAGCACTCTGTTTAATAGAAGTGTCTGTGATGATGGAACTATTTTATGTCTATTATGGTCTAATATGGTTGCCTCGAGCTGCATGCAGCTAGTTAACACTCAATGTGTGGTGAGGTGTAAGTATAACTTAGGAACTTAAATTTTAATTTTAAAAATGAATTTTAATTTAAATTCTGTATGTGTCTAGTGCTACCATATGGGCAAGTGCAGTTCTGGAAAGAGGAAGGGGTTGGGGGCCTAACATGTCTTTGACCTGGCCTAGTGGCCCTGGTATCTCAGGAAAGCGTTGTCTGTTCTTTGAAGGTACCCAGGCCTGTTCTCTCCAGTTCCTTGCTCTGCCTTCTTCCAGAATAATAACTGGGAGCATTGTTAAGTACCTACAATGTGTCAGACATTTTGCAAATGCAACCCAGATGCAGTGGGTGACCTCAAGGCTTATGCCAGCTTTCAAAAGAAGCTCAGGGTTCCAACACAGCTGGGAAAGGAACACAGTAGGCTCTTTCTGAAACCTCCTAAGGAAGCACAAAAGGGAAAATATGTCAATAAAGCACAAAGGGACTTCTTATCTCCCCCAGCTAAGTCCCACTCCTCAGCACAGCTGCTGTGCCTCTCTCCTTTTCACCCCCAAACACTCCCACCCTATGCCCAGGAAGGGTCCTTCCCCATTCATCCTTTCCTATTTAAAGAAAAGGTTTTGCCCTGCCTCACACCTCACCTGAAACAGCATCCCACAGGTCCGTCTTCCTCTCTGGCAGGAAAGAGAAGACCACAAAAGTGGCAAATACTTACCATGCAACTTTTTTTTTTTTTTTAAGATTTATTTATTTATTTATACAAGCACTGGGAACAGTCAGAAGCGCGAGAGGGTGAGAGAATTCACCAGAGCCAGAGCGGGTAACAGAACAGGCAGACTGACAAAGTACACTTCTGAGGGGAGCAGCGGGCGGCAGGAGAGGTCAGCGCGCCAAGGTGGGACACTTGCCGGCGGCTGGAGATTGAACCGGCGCTGCAGAGGCTGCGGGCAGCTTCGCAACCCAGCGCTCAACTGCTGCGCCACCAGGGAGGCCCTACCATGCAACTTTTAACTTTCATCTGTTTTACACAAGTTCACTGCGATCAATCCCAGTTTACAGATGAGGAACCGGAAGCACAGAACAGTTAAGGGCACACAGATAATGAGTGGAGAAATCACAATGCAAGCCCAGAGCTGTGAGAATCCTAAGACAGTGAGGCATGTTTCCAACATTTTCCCTCACAATTTGCCCAACTGGGGTGCCATGCCATCCGTCCCCAACCCGACCATACACTAATGGTAAACTAGCAGAGTCATCACATTAGCTCAGCATGCTGGTAACGAGTTCCTGGTGACCCTGCCCCCAAGAAATTGTTCATTTTAACCAGGAGACAAAAGCTTGGCCCCAAGCTGTGACTCAGTGAAGATCTCAAATCCCAATTTCCCAACTTCAAGGCTCACCAGGGCCTCCTGACCCTGCTCTCCAGTCTGGGTCTGACAAGGCCAACCTGCTCTCCAGCTCATCTGGACAAGGCTGTCTGTCCGGCCCCAGGGCCAGGCTGCCTCACTGCTGAGCAACCTCCTGCTCCATTCTTTTGAAAACAGCAGAGTCTGATGACATTGAATATATTCACATGTTGTAAAACCGTCTCTGCCATCCATCTCCAGAACTTTCTCATCTTTCCCAATGGAAACACTGTCCCCATTAGACAGTAACTCCCTATCCCTCCACTCCCCTGGCCCTGGCAACAAAATGTACTTTCTGTCTATGAACTTGACTTCTCCAGGAGCCTCATGTAAGTGGAATCACACAGCTTTTATCCTTTTGTTTCTGACTATGTCCTCCAGGCTCATCCATCATGTTGTAACCATGTCACAACTTCATTCTGAAGCTGAATAGTATTCTATTGCATATATAGACCATATTTGTTTTTCTATTTGCTCCTCAATAGACATTTGGCTCCACATTAGCCACCTTTTGGCTATTGTGAATAATGTGGCTATGAGCACTGGTGTACAAATATCTGTTTGAGTCCTTGCTTTCCACTCTTTGGGGTCTATACCCAGAGGTGGAAGTGTTGGGTCACATGATAATTCTATGGAAGATTTTTTGAGGAACTGCCACACTGCTTTCCGTGGTTGTTCCTCTGATAGCTTCTACAATAGCCAGCATATTAATCATTATGCTTTAAAACGTGGGTTTAGGGCCTCTCTGGTGGCTCAGGGGTTAAAGCCTCAGTGCTATCAAGCTTTCATCATCTACTGCAGCATGAGTTCCATCCCCAGCCAGGAAGATACCCACATGGTGCAGCAGACCTCTCCTATCTCGCCCGTTGCTCCCCTCAGTAGTGTATTTCAGTCAGTCTGCCTGTTCTGCTCCCTGCTCTGTCTCTTGTGACTCCTCTCACTGTCCCTGCCCCCGGAACCTCTGTCCTATATCCCAGTTCTTGTATACATAAATAAATAAAAATAAATCTTTAAAAAATAATAAATAAAAATAAAATGTGGGTCTAAACTTATTGCTTTCAACCCAAGAAGTATAGGTCAATCTGAAGAAAACTCAGTGGTAGTGTCCCAGGGGGCCAGTTTTGATTTGACTTATTTTATATTTATATAAACCCTTATTTACAATAAAGATTGTAGTCTGCTAATCAAATAAAGAGATGTGATGAGAAGTCTGGCTAACGCTAAAATTTCTGAAAGGCAGGAGAGATGGAGCTATAAAATCAGCTTCTCTTCATTGCGTACCTCAGAGAATCAAGTACTGTGCCAAGTTCATTTCCTTTATGTATCATTTAATTGTCACACCTCCATGAGATCATTGACTCACTTCACAGAGGAGGACACTGCGACTCAGAGAAGCTAAGTAACTTACCTAGCCTGAGCTTCCAGTCGAAGGAATCTGACCGCAAAAGTCATACTCTTTCCACCACACTGTGCCATCCCTTCTCTGTAACAACAACAAGAACATCAGGGATAAATGGCCTTGATGCAGATCATATTGAAGTTGGGGGAGATGTGGCTTGTCAGCATTTGTGACATCAAAGTCTTGGAATTTTTGCTAAGCTTAAAAGACAATGATCTACCTTCTAATAAAGTTCACATAAGTCTGGGCTCCATTAGTAGGAGGATAGTAACCAAATCAAAGGAGCTAGCTGTCCTACTATGCACACACCCATCAGTGACATCAAGGAGCTGTGATCAGTTCCAGATACCAGGCTTTTTTAAAAAATATATATTCTTTTATTTGTTGATGCATACTAGAACTGGGGTATAGGCCAGAGGTGCGGGGTGGGGGTTAAGTGAGAGGATTCACCAGAGGCAAAGTGAGGAGCAGAACAGGCAGATCTACTGAAATACACTGCTGAGGGGAACAGTAGGTGAGACAGGAGAGGTCTGCCATGCCATGTGGGTAGCTCCCTGGCCAGGGATCAAACTCATGTTGCAATGGCTGCTGATAGCTTCATAGTGTTGAGAATTAACCCCTTGTGCCACCAGGGGGGCCCCAGATAGTGGGCCTATTAAAAGTAATTTTCTTAAGGTAGCATTAACATACCATAAATGGCACATGTTTAAAGTACATGGTTTGATATGGTGGACATTTAGATGCCTCTAAAAACATCACCAGGGTCAAGGGAACATAACCACCTCCCCATAAAGTCTCCTCGTGCTGTTTACAATGTTTCTGCTCCTCCCATCTCCACATCCTCAAGTTGCCACTAAAGGGCTTTCTATCACTATTGATCAGTTTGCATTTTTTTTTAATTTTATATAAATGAAATCATCCAGCTCTGATTTTTGTTATTTTTCACCTTTTTGGTTGTTGTTGTTGGCTTCTTTCACTCAGTATTATCTGAGATTCATCGATGTTGTTAAGCATATCCTGGGTTTTGTTTGTTTGGCTGAGTAGTATTCCACTGCATGGAAACACCTGTTTGTTTATCCGTTCATGGCTGATAGACATTGCAGTTGTTTTCAGATCTTGGCTGTTCCAAATAAAGCTGCTACAAACATTTGCCTTGAATGAACATAAGCTTTCCTTTATCTTGGGTAAATAACTTGAAGCTAAATGGCTAGGTCATATGAAAGATATATGTTTAACTTTTCAAGAACCTGTCAACTGTCTTCTAAAGTACCCGCCTGAGTTTCACCTTCTCCCCAGCAGTTGAGAGATGACCCATATCCCCACCCGCACTTGGTTTGGTCAATCTTTTAACTTTAGTTAATAACTAATTAGAGTGCAGTGGTCAGACATCACCTTTTTAAAAGGAACATATTAAAACCAAAAAGTGCAAGGAAGAAACACTGGGAGAAGGATCTGGAACAGTGAACTGGGGTATTTGCTTGGGAGGAATACAGTCATGGCAAATTTCTGAATTGTTGTATAAAATGAACTAGAAGCAGAGAGAAAGGCCACTGGGAAACAGACTTGGCTTCACCCAGTGGCCTTTTAGTAGAGCTTCTCAAAGGCAGACTGAGTTTTTGAAGAAATGAGATCTCTGCCATCAGAAGCCTCCCAGAAATAGAATTTGGAGGATTCTCCTCGCAGAGATGGTCAATTCGATGATTAACACTGGTGGAGCTTGTACCTTGCGTTGTGGGGGGAAGGCATGAGAGGGTAGAAAGTGAATGTCATGCTTTTGCCTCACTAGCGGCATGTAATTAGGGTTCTGGTAAAGGTCCAGTCAGGAATATGGTCGGGAGAGGAGGCGACTTGGCACCTGGGTAGTGGTAGGATGTTAGCGAAGAAATCCTAAGCAGGAGGGACAGTTTGGAGTAAGTGACCTTTCAGTTCCTAAGATCAAATTGTATTTTAAAACAAACAAGGGCCTCCCTGGTGGCGCAGGGGTTAAGTGTCAGCACTCGGAGCACTCCAAAGCTATCTGCAGCCACTGCAGCATGAGTTCGAGCCCCGGCCAGGGAGCCACCCACATGGCACAGCAGACCTCTCCTGTCTCGCCCGCTGCTCCCCTCAGCAGTGTATTTCAGTCCGTTTGCCTGTTCTGTTCCCCACTCTCTCTGGTGAATCCTCTTACCACCAGCACCTCTGTCCTACACCCCCAGTTCTGGTATGCATAAATAAATAAATCTTTAAAAATAAATAAATGATTGAATGAAACAAAAAGCTAAAAGTCCATCAGTGGGGTCCTGGCAATATAAGTGGAGTAATATTCAGCTGAAGTACAATTGGGGTGTTATTTCCATATTGATAGAGGATGAGCACTAAGGTATATCATTTGAGTTCTTTTAAAGGGGTCTGGTATGTAAGAAACACACACACACACTCACTTTCATTTGCAAATCTCAAGTCTCCAGCCTTACAACACTGGTTACCTTTAAGAGGGGAAGTGGCTAGGAGACAGGTGTGAAAAAGAAACCATGTCTCTAAGACCTGAAACCATAAAATACATAGAGGGAAATATAGGCGAAACACTACATGACATGCACCTCAAAGACATCTTTACAGACACATCGCCCAAAGCAGTGATAGTGAAGGCAAAGATAAACAGCTGGGACTACATCAAATTAAAGAGCTTCTGCACAGCAAAAGAGACAATAACCAAAACAAAGAGAAACCCCACCGACTGGGAGAACATTTTTGCACACAACACTAATGATAAAGCACTGATCACAAAAATCTACAAAGAGCTGATGAGACTCAACAAAAAGAAAATAATCCAGTCAAAAAATGGGCAGAAGAGCTAAAAAGAAACTTCTCCAAAGAGGAAAAGCAAATGGCCAACAGGCATATGAAAAAATGTTCAACATCACTTGTAATCAGGGAAATGCAAATCAAAACTACCATGAGATACCATCTTACACCAGTGAGAATGGCACATATTAAAAGAACTAGCAACAACAAATGTTGGCGAGGGTGTGGAGAAAAAGGAGCTCTCCTGCACTGCTGGTGGGAGTGCAAACTGATCCAACCACTATGGAGAGCTGTGTGGAGACTTCTTGACCTACTAAACATAGACCTTCAATATGATCCGGCAATTCCACTCCTAGGTATTTACCCAAATGACACAGAAACATTAATTCCAAAGGGCACCTGCACCCCTATTTTTATAGCAGCACTATTTACAATAGCTAAGCTATGGAAACAACCCAAATGCCCAAAAATAGATGACTGGATCAAGAAGATGTGGTACATATACACCATGGAATATTACTCAGCAATCAAAAAAGATAAACACATGCAGTTTGCAGCAACATGGATGCAGCTAGAAGCAATCGTGCTCAGCGAAATAAGTCAGAAAGAAAAAGAAAAATACCAGATGGTTTCATTCATAGCAGGAATTTAGAAAATTTAAATAAGAGACCAGGAAAAAGACTAATCAATACAAAGTAAAAATCAAAATCAACAAGCAACTATAAACCAGAGACACACTATGGGGGGTGGGAGGGAGAAGGTGGGGGAGAGGAAGGACTAGAGTCAAAATAAGGGGGGAGTGCAATTGCATGGGGAATATAACCATAATGAAAATGTATACATTGTGCAAAGATGAAAATAATGTAAGAATTATATGAAATAAAATATTAAAAAAAAAGAAACCATGTCTCATACCCTTCTGTACCCTCAGAATTTTTACTATGTAAGTGGACTGCAAACTAAAAACGAAATTAAAATAAAACTAAAAGCATTGGAGGGCCTCCCTGGTAGCGCAAGGGGTTAGGACGCAGCACTATGAAGCAATCCGCAGCCACTGCAATAGGAGTTCTATCACGGCCAGGGAGCTACCCACATGGCGCAGACCTCTGCTGTTTCGCCCACTGCTCCCCTCTGCAGTGTATTTCAGTCAGTCTGCCTGTTCTGCTCCCCACTCTGTGTCTAATGAATCCCCTCACCCTCCATACCTCTGGCCTCTATCCCAGTTTTTGTATGCATAAATAAATAAATCTTAAAAATAAATAAATAAACGCATTAGAGTCGCTGCCTCTTTTAGCAGGTTTTCCTAGAGTGCAATCTTTGTCTTTTCCTGTGTCCATCTTCCTCCACTGAGCCAGGCTGGTGGATGTGTCTTCCTCTCAGAGGAGGCTTCCAGGGAACTTTTATTTCCTTCCTTCCTAACTCCCGGGGCATGCAGTATCTAGGCAGATGTTGCCCAGACATTAACTTACATAGGGATCAACTTGGTATCTTATAAAAATTCAGATTGGGATTCTTTAGCCTCAGGGGATACTAAATTTCTGCATTTCTAACCAGCTCCCAGGTGAGGCCACTACTGTTAATAAGGACCACTCTGAGTAGGGTGGGTCTAGAATTCTATGCTCTCTTTGATGAGACTCTTGAGTTGAGTAACCTGCCTTGAGAAGTTGCTGACTCCCCAGGGAGGAAGGGATGTGATGGTGGAGATTCTGACAGAGAGAAAGGCAAGTCCAGCCCTGGTCTGGTCTGAGCCTTTCACCACTCCAGGTGAATGGGACCACTGACCGTTAATCTGGTTTCCATCCTTTCCTACCACTGTTTGGGCTGTACGTAAACAGACTCCCCCATTCCTCCACTGAAGGGAAGCCCTGACAATGGATGGGACAAAATAACATCCCAGAAGAGGCTGGAAAAGAAGATGCATGGGTTTCTTGGCCTGCTGGCCAGGATTTCACCAGCCGGAAACACGCCTTTCCTATTTCTGATGGGCTAAGGATGGCAGTGGGCCACGCCTTCCCTGAAAATGCAGAAGTCAAACCAAACCTCCTGCAGAAAATGAAACCAGACACATTTGGCACAGCCTTTCTCCCCGGGTAAAAGGCAGATGTCTTGGACCCAGGTGTGGCAGGACCACCTGCTGCAGCAGAAAGCTGCCAGCCCGCCAGCGGAGGCTCCTCCCTCACCCAGGAAGGAAACTGACCTGCACATCTGAAAGTCAAGTTGCTAAACACCCCCACCGCACCCCTTACCCCAGGGAACAGGGTAGTCTTCCAGGCCACAAAGGTGATGAGGCATTTTCTTTTTTTTTAAAGACGTATTTTTATTTATTTATGCATACAAGAATAGGAGTGTAGGCCAGAGGTGCAA